ATGTATGTACCTTCTTTGTATCTTAATTTGAACAAAGCATTTATGGGGCCATCAGTGGAACTGCAACATTGACTGGGTATTATAGGACATTAAAAAATCACTGGTCATTTTTGAGGCACAGTAACGGTATTACATTAAAGCGAATGACTTATGAATGAAATGATGAGACGTGTTTACTTTAAAATAGTGATGGGGAGAGAATATGGGAATTCAATGAAACCAGATTGGCATGTTGATAACTGTTCAAGCTGGGAGATGACTACATGAGAGTTTGCTACATGATTCTATTTTTTTATAGACTCAAAATGTTCTGCAATGAAATATGGGAATTCAGTGAAACAAGACTGGCATGTTGATAACTGTGGAAGCTGAGAGATAGGTACATGAACTTCGGCAATGAGTAATTAAAAGAAGAAAATATATCTAGAGATGGCAGGATATAGAGTCCAGCATCTATTCTCCAATGACTGACTGCTACAGACACCAAAATTCTCAGATGTCTACAGGACACAGGTAACAGAAACAGGGATAGCACAGTCAACAGTTCCAACAGGGCCCCTGCCCTTGTGAATTTCAGTCTGGTGAGAGACATAGACAGTAACCATACAGTCACACAAACACATGACTGCACACTGATGTGTGTTAGAAAGGTAGAATAGACAAAGCACACAATAGCATGGCCTAGCCCAGTTTGGGGTTCAGGCAAGGTTTCATTTTGGGGTTCAGGCAAGGTGTCACTGAAGCAACCCTCCAAATATCTCAGTTCCCTCTCCTTCTGAGTACAAAGTGGGACTGAACTTCCTGGCCCCTGTGGACAATGCAGCCTGTGACTAGTTTGGCGAGAGTGGAAGAGACATAAGGGTCACTCCTGGTGAGCATTACTCCCCTGTGTGAAGCCTGCCAGAGTCTTTTTCCCCTCTACCACTGCCTATTGACAGTCCAGGTAGCGGCTCGTCCATGGACAAGGTTCTGGAACAAAGATGCAAAAGTATCATGGTGGCAGATCCCCTAGCCACCCAACAGGGGACATGTGGCAGGGGTGGGGACTGTTTCTGATGGCTTTAAGCCACTGCAAGTTTGAGGTTGTTCATTACTGCAAGTCAACTAAGCTTGTGCTGACTGATATAGAGGGCTTCCCTGAAGACATGATTTTGGAGCTGAGACTTACAGGGTAGGTAGGAATTAGCCAAGGAGGATTAGAGTCATGGAGGATAAAAGGAAAGAACATTTCCAAAAGCAGAACCTCAATGAACATAAATGATAAAAAAAATTCACACACACACACCCCGCCGCCATGTGCTCAGCACTCTTCTAAGGACTTCACATTAACTTCTCACAACTCTTGAGGGGGGATTATTATTATTGTCAGCACCATTAAACACATGAGCAGTAAAACCAGGCAGTCTGGCTCCAGAGTCTGTTTTCTTAGCTCTGAGTCACATTGTCCAGTGTCAGATTCCAGGACAAAAAGAAGGGCACTGTAGAGGGTCTAGTGTAGCTGAAGGAGAAGCCACAGAATGGGGTGGCCCAAAGACAGGCCAGAGAACTAAGAAAGGCCTGAGTACCAGTAGCTCTCAGAGATGCTGATCTATAAAGACAGGGATGCCGGGAGAGTGACAGGTCAGATTTCCCTTCTAAACGGATTCTCTTTTATAATTAAATCACACACAAATGACAGAGGAGTCATATTCAGATCTATAAGAAACGTACCCCTATTACAAGTCAAGAGAAAATACAAACAACCCAATACAAAAATAGGCAAAAGACTTGAACAGGCACACTTCACAAAAAGATGTCCAAATAATCAATAAGAACATGAAAAGAGGCTCAGCCTAATTAGCCATCAGATAAATGCAAATTAAAAGCCCAGTAAAATGTCCTATACACCCAGAGAATGGAAAACCAAAGAAACAAAAGTAAAACAAACACAAGACCCCCAGACCATGGCACATAATCCAAGGGTATAGAACAGCCAGAATTCTCATACACTGCAGCTGGGAGTGTGGACTAAGGACCCCCCCGCCCGGCTTTGGAAAACTGGTGGTATCTATAGAAACTGAACCTATGTATGCCCCATAACATAGAAAATCAGCTTCTGTCCAACAGTGGTGTATACACTGATAAGAATGTGCATACGTTTGCTGTTTGTAGTAGTCCCCAAAAGGAAACAACTCAAATATCCATCAACAGCAACATAGATAAATAAATTATAGCATATTCATAAATAGAATATTGTACAACCAAAATAACAACCGAGCTGTACCCACACACAACTGCATGGTTGCATCTCATTTTAAAAAGTTATGCAAAAGGAGCCAGATATAACAGAATACAATCTGAGTTACTCCATTTAAAGATAATTCAAATGAAGGTAAAATGAAATAATAATGTGAGATGTCAAAACATCTCTTGTGGGATGAGTGGGGTGCAGCTTGTGAGATGGGACAAAGAAGCAACATCTTGATCTGGGCTGAGGTTCCGTAGAAGTGTGCTTTATGACCATTTTTTTCTTAATTTTAAAAATTGTTATAGCTTTAGGGGATACAATGCAGTCGTTACCTGCATATACTGCATGGCAGTGAAGTCTGGACTTTCCATGTACCAAAATCACCTGAAGAGTGAACTTTGTACTTAATAGGTAACTCGTCAGCACTCAACACTCTCCCATTGGTATGGTTTGGCTGTGTCCCCACCCAAATCTCATCTTGAATTGTAGCTCCCATAATCTCCATGTGTGATGGGAGGGGCTGGTGGGAGATCATTGAATCTCAGTGGTGGGTTTTTCCTGTTCTTGTGACAATGAATAAGTCTCACTCAATCTGATGATTCTATAAAGGGCAGTTCCTCTGCACACGCCCTCTTGCCTGCCACCATGTAAGACCTGTCTTTGCTCCTCCTTTGCCTTCTGCCATGATTGTGAGGCCTCCCCAGCCATGTGGAACTGTGAGTCCATTAAACCTCTTTTTCTTTATAAATTACTCAGTCTCTGGTATTTCTTTCTTAGCAGAGTGAGAACAGACTAATACACCCACCCTCCCACCTGCTGGAGTCTCTAGTGTATGTTACCTCCTCCTTTATGTCCGTGTGTACCCACTGCTTAGCCCCCACTTGTAGTGAGAGCATGCGGGGATTTGACTTTCTGCTTCTGACTCATTTCACTTAGGTAATGGCCTCCCATTCTGTCCATGACTTTGTGACAATTCTTTGAACCCCTTTTCGGTGTGATATTACAGTTCAGTTTGTAAAAGAAACCACTCTGGCTGCCATGTACAAAAGGATGGGGGACCATTTCAGAAGCTGTGATGATTGTCAGGTGAGAGGCAAGGTTGGCTTGGACCCGAGATGACCCGAGCTGGCAAAGGGGACGTGCAGTACACATGTATCCCAGCCAGACCAGATGAGCCAATCACAACATCCAAGTTTACGCGTGCTGAACAGCCTTTTCCTTGTTGCTTGCAAGAGAGTATCTCATTTTTTACCCAGGTGATCTGGCCTTTAAGTAAAGGTTAGCCACCTTCTGGATTCACCAATCAGAGAAGAATCATTTCAGGTGATTTTAAAATACACTGATTGGGATGCACACCCCTGGCGAGAAAAGAACTGCAACGAAATCTGGAGCTTTTTTTTTTTAGGAATAATCATATTGTTAGCAATAAAGTTGGTATAGTTATTTTTTCAAAGATCGATAGATAGATAGATATGGCCAATAAGCAACTATTTTAATTATTTTCAGGCTAAGAGAGAAAAGAAATGCCAATATAAAATCAAAGCAGGGCTGGACACAGTAGCTCATGCAGGTCATCCCAGAACTGTTAAAGGCCAAAGCAGGTGAATCACCTGAAGTCAGGAGTTCAAGACCTACCTGGCCAACATGGTAAAATGCTGTCTCTATTAAAAATACAAAAATTAGCTGGGTGTGGTGGCAGGTGCCTGTAATCCCGGCCACTCAGGAGGCTGAGGCAGGAGAATTCCTTGAACTTGGGAAACAGAGGTTGCAGTGAGACAAAATCACATCATTGTGCTCCAGTCTGGGTGACAAAGCGAGACACCATCTCAAAAAAATAAAAGTAAAAATAAATTTTAAAACATCAAAGCAATCGAGTATCCATAGTCAGAACCTGATATGCAGGGTTTGGCTGTGACCCACCCCACCACGCTAGGATCTTGCCTAGAATAACTGCTTGCACCTGTTATTCTAGCTTCCACAGCCCCGCCGCTCCAGCCACCACCCCTCCCCCAGGAAACTGACTCATCCTGCAAACCTCCACTTCCCAAGCCTCCAGACTCTACATCCATCATAAGTCCTTACCCTATGAAGTCACCACTTGTCATCAACTTGTGTGTGTGTATGTGTGTGAGAGTGTGTGTGTGAATGTGCATGAGATGACTTGCTGCCATAGGCCCCAGTCAGTGCCCTCACTACCATCACAGCCCTGAGACTAAGGATGCCTGGTACATGGCAGAACCTCAATACATGCATACGGAGTGAATTTTTGAAGACATAATCATTGCTATGTTTACTGAGCACTTACTATATGCGGGGCTGTTTGTGAGTCTTCTCTTTGCATCCTCACAGAAACAAGAAGAGCTCACATTTATTGAGTCCACACTCTATGCTGGGCCCCAGCCTGCAAACTTTACATGTAATACTCATACTCTTCACATCAATTCTCGACCGTCTGCACTGCTCAGTTTAATGTGTCAACTTGGCTAGGCTCCTGTACCTAGTTATTCCACCAAGCACTAATGCAGGTGCTGCTGTGACGGTATTATAGTCATCATGCGTTAGTGTCCACAGTCAGGGGACTTTAAGTAAAGATCATCCTTAATAATCTGGGGACCTCATCTAATCAGTGGAAAGACCTCAACTGCAAAACTGAGGTTCGCTGAGGAAGATGCGATTTTGCCCCGATCTCATCCACAGCCTCATCTCCTGCCTGCAGGCCTCCAGCCTGCCAGCCTGCCATGCAGATTTCAGACTTACTAAGCCAGACTCCACAGTCCCATAGCCAATTCCCAGATATATATATATATTCCTGATTCTGTTTATCTGATACGACTCCTGCCAATGCACCATATAAATTTATAAATGGGGACTCTGAGGAGGGGCAGGTTTCTAGAACCAAGGTCAGCATATGCTGGAGCTGGGATTCAGACCCAGGCAGTCAGGCTCCAGAGTTGGCCCCCTTAATGACCACAGCACTTGGTCTCCAGCAATGAGATCTTCCTTCCTTTCCTGCTGCTCTTCTTGATTAAAGAGAGGTGCCAGGGCCAGGGAGGGAGGCTACAGAGAGGATTGTGGCATAGGAAGTGCAGTACTACAGCAAAAGTTGAGTTAGAAATTCCTGCCACAGTTGGATCTGGGTTGAGCTGGGTCAAGGGTGGCAATCAATAAGATTAATAAAGCATAACTTGAGTTTTTATTCCCCCTGTCATGATGGATGAGGCCTTTGAAGCAACTAGCAGAGGCCTCACCCTGAGCATCCAAGAAAGATTTGTGGATACATTTATATGAAGGATCGCCTTCCAGCCCCCACGAGTGTTTAAGTTGACTTGCTTCAAACCAAGATCAAAGAACAGGCTGGAGATATTGTTTCCCCGATTTGTATAAATCAGCCAGACAGACTGTGGCCTCGACAGCTACTGATGTTTCTCCAGTTGGAAGTAACTTGTTAAGAAACATGTCAGGCAGCCACAAAAATCTGAGTGCCTCCTTGGGAAAGAAACATCGAGAGGCATTGATCACTTGCCGCCCGACTTTACCTTAACTATTTCTGAAGCCATAATTGAGAAGGCCCCAAGGTCCACTTTTCATGTATCCTTCAACCTTTCAGAATGGGTTTGAGTGATCATTTTTAACACTAATGCCGGATATGTTTGTGGAGTTTCCAAATGGTCACAGGCATGGTCTGTTTCAGCTTCATAACAATCATAGGAGGTGAAGGAGGGCAGCAGAGGGTCCTCCCATCTTGCTAATGAGAAATTGAGGCTCAGGAGTGCCAAGGGTCCAGCAGGGGCTCAGCTGGGGGATCTACTCCCAGCCACACATACTTCTCCCCTCTTTGTACATTCCCTTCTCACTTTGCTAATGTTTCCTGGGGACTTTCTTTATGCCTGGTCTTGGGCTGGATATTTTCACTGTCTCTCACATTCTTTAAATATTTCCTTCTTTTGCCTTAGAGTATGCTTCGAATGGTGGTAGTAGTGGCAGAAGCTACTTCAGAAAATTCTATCAGTGAACATTCTCATACACACACACACACACACACACACACACACACACACACACACACACAAACTTATGCCAGCCAGAGTCCAGGAGACTTGGGAATCACACAGAGAAGAGTCACCTCATTTCTCAACTGTGCATCTGGGACTGCCTTCCACACTGCAGAGACTGTCTTTAGATCCATGTAAATTAATAACATCTGTTAATTTATCAAGTTAGTGGAGCATTTAACATCAGCCAGCATTTTTGATATACTAGCTCTTTTAATTCTGTAGATAACTATCTCCATTGTACAGACAATGAAACAGAAACTGATGCTCAAGGTCCAGTACCTTCTCCAAAGTCGCACTGAAAACATGAGACAGAATGCTGACTCCAAAGCGCTGTTGTAGGTGCCTTTGTATGATTAACTTTGCTTCATAGCATTTGCTTTGCTTCATACCATTAATATATTAAAGGACACATTGTTTTTACTGGAGAAAATTTATTTTTAAAAGAAGATGAACTGCTTCAGATGTAGAAAACCGGAAAGACCATCACTCCCATCCTCACTACTCCAATAAAAACCAAGGCAGGTAATTTAAAATTTTGCAACTTTTCTTTAATCCAGCAGAGACCTGAGTTTGCAAAGCAACCAGCTAGCCTGAAATGTAAGGAAATATAGGTACCTCCAAGGAGAGCCAGGACTTGAATATTTGCTTACCTGGAGTAGATGTCATTGGATGCTGGTAGGAAAAAAAAATAGCTAGAATATTTAACAAATTGCTGAAGGCTGAGCCTGGGCTGCTGAGACTATATGGCACTTCTGACAGCCACAGACATAAGAGGAATTCACTCTATATGCAGGCTTGTTTCCATAGCTGAACTAAGTGCTCACAAAAGACAGGAGAGGGCAACATGAGAATACTGAGAAAACATTCCTTACAGCATAGGACTAGGGGAGTGGGGGAGAAACCACTGCAGAAAAGGCACAAAGCCTCACCCGGATCTCCCTAAAAACATCTAGGGGAAGGGCAATGAAACCCGCTGCCATGAGGACACTAATGAAAATTATTGAAGCTGACTGAAGGAAACTTCAACAACAGCAAATCCCCCCTCACACTCTTCCTGGTGCACCGTAGGGCAAGCAGGAATACATTCTAAGCCCAGACCGATAGCTGGGAGCTGGACAGAACCACAAAGTGCCTGGCTAAGACTGAGACACAGTCAACACAACAGAGAATATTCACCAACCTCTATTAAGAGGCAAACAAACACGGAGTAGCAGGTAACAGTGGTCTGTTCCTGAAAGAGGGACAAGAGACGGAAGAGAGACTCAATCTATGGCAAAGCACAAAGGAAAACTGAAAGTTGAGGGTGGAGCAGATGTTGAAAAAAATCCTCTAAGTTAGTACCCAACCTAAACTAAAACTAACACAGGAGGACTATGAAGCTGATGGCACACTAGGAGCAACTATAGCCAACAATGAAACCTAACACAGCTGAATTACTAAATAGACCAACTCAACTGCCCATACTGAAGTCCTAACAGAAATAAAGACATGCTCCATTCCCAGATGTTAAAACCTCAGTATCTATTGTCCTACACAAGATGTCTGGCTTTCAATAAAAAAAAATGTGAGGCATTCAAAGAAGTGAGGGAAAAAATAAAACAGCACACTGTCAAGAGACAAAAGAATCAACATAATTAGACACAGCTATGATACAGATGATGGAATTATTAGATAGGATTTAAAATAACTGATTAATATGTTATAGACTGTAGTGGAAATAAGAACACCATGAATTATCACATGGGTAAGTTCAGCAGAGGAGTGAAACTATAAGAAAAAAAAATCAAATGGAAATGCTTGAAATAAAAAACACACTCATAAAGATAATTATTTTGATAGACTCATTAGTAAATTTAACACAGGTAAGAAAAGAATCGACTAACTTGAGCATAAGTGAATAGAAATTATTCAAGCTCAAAAAGGAAAAAGAGTTTTAAAAATAGGCAGAGTATCCAAGAATTGTGAGACAATAACAAATTGTCTAACAGAACGGAAATTGGAATTTCAGAATGAGAAGACAGAATGAGGCAGAAAAATATATTTGAATAATTATCTAATTGACATTCATAAAACACTCCACCCAAGTACACAAGAAACATGAACAACAACAAAAAAACCATTTTATGGACTACAAAACCGATATTAATACATTAAAATAGCTGAAATTATACAAAAAGCATTTTTCAAAAGTAATGGCAAACACCAAGCCACAGATCCAGGAAGCTTAGAGTACAGCAGCTAGGATAAATTAAACAAAAACAAACACCTAGAAATGGCCTATTCAAACTGCTGAACACTAAAGATAAAGAGAAAATCATAAAGGTAGGCAGAGAAAAATGATACATACAGAGGAACAAAGATAAGAATTACATCAGACTTCCCATGAGATGTTAGGCAAGCCAGAAGACAAATGCTCAAACAACAACAAAAACTATCAATCCAAAATGTATCCCAGCCTGTAGGTTAAATCTAGCCCACTGCCTGTTTTTGTAAATAAAATTTTTTACTGGACAAAAGTCACACAAGTTCATGTTTGTATTGTCTATGGCTGCTTTTACACTATGACAGAGTCCAGAATTTCTGGCCTATAAGATCCAAATATTTACTCTTTGACCCCTTACAGAAAAAAATTGTCAACTCCTAATCTAAAAGATAACTGACTTTCAAAAAAGAAGGAGTGAAAACAAAAGTGGTAACAAGCTATTGTGTATTCATAACATATGTAAAATACTAATATATGACACCAATGACACAGGAGTGTTGGAGAAAAGAATAATTTGCATATTTTATAAGTTTCTTAGACTAGCTATAAAGTAGTATCATATTATTCGAGGTTAGAAGTTTTAATTAAAGATGGGTATTGTAAAACTTAAGTCAACAACTAAAAATTTTTCAAGAGATATAAATAATGATAAGCCATTAGTGAAGATAAAACAGAATCATAAACAAAAGGAAGGAAATAATAAAGATAAGAGTAGACATTAATGAAATTGAGAAAAGAAAATAATGAAATCCAAAGCTGCAACTTTGAAAAAAATTAATAAAACAGATAAACCTCTAACAAGACTGACCAGTGGAAAAAGACAACACAAACGATCAATATCAGGAGTGGAAGACAGAACATTGAAAATCACTTTACAAAGAATAATCCTGTATCTATTAAGGAAATATAAATGGATAATTAAAACTTTATTTTTTGAGATGGAGTCTTGCTCTGCGACCCAGGCTGGAGCACAGTGGTGCAACCTGGGATCACTGCAACCTCCACCTCCTGGGTTCAAGTGATTCTCCTGTCTCAGTCTCCTGAGTAGCTGGGATTACAGGCACCTGACACCATGCCGAGCTAAGTTTTGTATTTTTAGTAGAGATAGGGTTTCACCATGTTGACCAGGCTGGTCTTGAACTCACGACCTCAGTTGATCCACCCACCTCAGCCTCTTAAAGTGCTGGGATTATAGGTGTGAGCCACTGTGCCTGGGCAAAACATTCTGAAAAAGAAATCTCTCACTAGCAGTCAGAACAGGAAGGAAGGAAGGAAGGGAGGGAGGGAGGGAGGGAGGGAGGGAGGGGAAGAATAAAAGAAAGACAGAAAGAAAGAGAGAGAGAGAAAGAGATGGAAGTAAGGAAGGAAGCTAGCTCATTCCGGGCCCAAATGGCTACACTGGTTATTTCTAGAGAATATTTAAGAAAGAAATAATACTAATTTTACACACATTCTCCCAGAATACAAAAAAAAAAAAAAAAAAAAGGGCACACTTCCAAACTCATTTTATGGGATCAGTATAACCTTGACATCTAAACCACACCAAAACATTATAAAGTAAATATATATTATAAAAGAAAACTACAGACAAATAATCCTCATGAATATAGATAACATCCTCAACAAAATGCAAGCAAATCAAATCCACTATATATAAAAAAGATAGTACACTACAGCCAAGTGGGGTTTATTTCAAGAATACAAGGATAGTCTGACATTCAAAAAAATCAATCAATGTA